AGTAATACCTACTCAACTATATAACTCTAGCTAAGCTCTGGATCATTCTTCAGTCTATACATGAGAACATAAGAACATGAAACATAAGAACATGAAAAGTGGGATACTGCAGGGAGCCATTTAGCCCTTACAGGGCAGATCCCTTTCACACCCATCCCAGCACTTCCATGTGCCTATCCAACTTCGTCTTAGGCTCCTGGCGTCCCCCGGTGATCCTACTATAGCACTCCAGTAGCCTATTCCACATATCCCACAACTCTATTTCCAAACAGTGCTTGCCTATATCCTTTCTGAATCGGAATTTAATAAATTTAAAGCCATTTGTTCCTAGTTATTTCGTTATTACTGAGCTTCAGAACATCTTCCATTTTACCTTGTTAATCCCCTTACCCTTGTACACCTCTATGTCTCCCTAACTCCTTGCCTCTCTAATGAATGTAAGCCTAAGCTTTTCAATTCTTTCTCTTCATATGGAAGGTTTCTAATATTATGAGATCATTTTTGTCATTCTTCTTTGTACTCTCTCCAAAGAATCTATGTCCATTCTATAATAAGGACACCAGAGAACTTGAACCGCATAATCCATGTGTTAGCCCTCACTAATGCTAGGTAAGTTCAAGATAACGTCAACAGTTCTGTTACTCCACAGACCTAGATATGAACCCGAATCCTGTTTGCCTTGTTGCGAGAACGCTAATACATTGTTTTCTAGGTTTCAAGTCGTTGCTAACAAATACACCTAGATCTTTTTCACAAACTGGAGTTTTCTATTTCCGTGTTACCTAGTTTTATACTTAACGTTTGTATTCGCCTTCCCTATCTGTAGTACCTTGCATTTTATCAGTATTGAAATTCATTTGCCAGTCTGACCACTCATGTGGAGTATCTAGATCTCTTTGAAGGTGTTCAAAGTCACTGTCTAGATTTATCACTCTCCCCATTTTGGTATCATCTGCAAATTTACTAATCCTACTAGATTGTACCTAAAGTAAAGATCATTAATGAATATAACAAACAGCAGAGGGCCTAATACAGATCCCTGAGAGACTCCACGCTTTTGACCCACTTTAATCTGACTTTAATCCATTTATGCTGACTCTTTGTTTTCCTACGGTCTTCTTTGACCCTAATCCATTTTAATACTGATCCACCTATTCCATGTGCTTCTACCTTCCTTATCAATCTCTCGCAGGGACTCTATCGAATGCTTTACTGAAATCTAAATAAATTATATCATATGACTTATCATTATCTACCGCTTCATATACTTCTGAAAAGCTAAAGCAAATTTGTGAGACAAGAACGTCCCTGGGTGAACCACGTGCTGAGAAGAATGAATTAAGTTGAATGTTTCAAGGTGGCTTCTGATTTTTGTAGCAATAATCCAGCTCTAGCAACTTTGCCTATGATTGACGTGAGACTAATGGGACGGTAATTTGATGCTATTGATTTATCCGCCGCCACTGAAAATCAGACTTTACATTTGCAAGTTCAAGCTTCTGGCACTAGGCCCGATTCTAATGACTTATTGATAACTGCTAATGGATTACTCAACTCATCTCTACATTCTTTTTAATATTCTAGCATATACCTCTTCTGGACCAGGCGATTTATGAGGCTTCAGTTTTGTTAATTACTTTAAGCACATCGTTACTAGTAATATTGATATTCATCAACATATTTTTCTATATGTCGTTATATACCTTATGAACTACTGGAAACTGTACTTTAGGTTTTTTCATTTTGTGAATACGGGCAAAAATGACTATTTAACGTACTACACATTTCTCGCTCATCATCCAGTCATTTCTCCTGTCGTAATAGTTTTAAAGAGTTCTGTGTATCTAACCTTTGATTTATACAGTTGATAAAAAGCTTTGGGGTTATTTTTCGATTCGTTTGCTACCTTGATTTCATAATTTCTCTTTGCTTTCCTAATTTTTGTTTTTACCTGTCTTGTTAGGTTCTGATAGTAACCAAGTAAGTGATTTTCGCCTTTCTTAACTTTTCTATATACTCCTTTCTTTTTCCCTAGAAGATCTAAGAGTCTATTATTCATCCATTTTGGTTGGTTCCGTATCGATCTGAATTTTCTTTTAGGGATGTGTTTATTTTGGGCATTATTGATTGTCGCAATAAATTGTTCATAAGTAGCTGCTAAATTAAATTCAGGGTTATCCCGTCCTAAGTTGACAGTTTCCGGAGGTGTGGGGGGGATTAATCTTTTGACCATAGGGTCATCCCTTAGGTCTCTCCTTAAGCTACCGTAATTAGCCTTCCTAAAATCCGGGATCAAGGCCGAATTTTCCTTCTTCCTGCCATCCCATATTATGTTAAAATATATGGCTTTATGATCACTGTTTCCTAGTTCGTCTCCAATCCCAACATCTTTTACTAGATTTTCATTATTACTGAGAACTAAATCGAGGATATTATTTCCTCTAGTGGGCGAGTTTATGAATTGATATAAAAAACTATCTTGTACTACTTCTAGAAAATCTTCAGATTCATTATCGCTAAGTTGATTTTTCCAATCTATGCCTGAAAAGTTGAAATCGCCTAGAATACATACATTGTTTCTATTAGATGCCTTCTTTATTTCCTCCCATAGCAATTTACCATCGTTCCTACTCAAATTAGGTGGTCTATATATAACACCAATGACTACGGATTCACTGCCCTCACCAATCTCTACCCAAATACTTTCATTGTCGCTATTTGTTTTAATGTTTGATTTATTGCAGCTTTTTAATGACACCCTGATATACACTGCTACACCGCCACCTCTCCTTCCTACTCTGTCAAATTTAAATAGGTTATATCCTGGAATATGAAATTCTGCTAAAAAATGCTTGCTGTTTGAATTTATCCATGTTTCCGTTATTGCAATTATATCTATGTTCTCTTTACTAACAATGGCCCTGAGCTGGTCCATTTTGTTACACAGGCTTCTACTATTAGTATAATAAACACTCAATATATTTCTTCCGTTTCTATCTGTTTTACATTTATTACTTTGATGTTTGTTATTATGACTAACTATATTTTCAGCATTATCTACTTCTGTTTCACTACTTCCCAGGACCTGCTTGTTTTTTGACTCCCATTTTCCCCGACCCCTCTCTACTGGCGAAACCCCCCCTTCGGAGTGACAATTTCACGCTCCAGGGATGCAGACAACGTCTTTACCCCCTCACGAGACAAGTGTACTCCGTCGCGACAGTACAGGTAGTCGTTGCCATAAAATCGTTGCCAGTCATCAATGAATGCCCAACCATTGTTTGCACAATGTTTTTCCAGTCGGCAATTAATAGCAATTGCCCTGGACAGCCATTCACGACCAACCCCTCTTCTAGGCAAGACACCACATACTATCGGGATCCCTCCCCTATCTCTAATCTTCCCCAGCGCCTCCCTATACCTCTTGAAAAGTTCCTCACTCCTAACCTTACCTATGTCGTTTCCTCCCACACTAAGACACACTACTGGATTGGTACCCTCCCCTGACAAAACTCTGTCTAACCTCTCGGCTACATGCCCTATCCCAGCCCCAGGAAAACATACCCTAGTCCTACGTTTCCTATCTCTCGCACAAAAAGCCCTATCCATAAACCTCACCTGGCTGTCACCAACTACCACGACCTTACCTGTGGGCAGGGTTTGTACAACTGCCCTTTCCTCTCCTTGTTCCATACCGTCCTGCCTCTTCTCTTCCTCTCCAGCTTCCTGCAGCACCTGGTAAGGGTTACTGCACTCCACACCCTGGTCCGCTTTCCTAAGCCTGACCCTAGTCCCCTTGGAGACAACCACTCTCCACGCCTGCTCCTCCTTCGCAGGTGTCCTGCTAGGCAGGACACCTACCTGAAGGAGTTCCGTCCTGAGGGCTTCATTTTCCCCCTTTAGAGTGTCAACCTCACTCCTCAACTGCCCCAGCTGCCTTAACAGCGTGGCAAGGAGGTCGTCCTTCCCCACACTCCCCTCCTCTTCCCCCACGGCACAACGATCCAAAGCGGCCATTTTCCTTGGTCTCTAGCGGGAGCACGATCGCACGACCTTTCTCTCCCTCAGTCTGTCTGTGATTCATTTCGATACATTATTCTACTCGCTGCCACCACTCGTCCCTGACACACCTCTATTGTCTCCATTCCAACTACTGTTCCTATCCACATTGTCTACCGTTTTTACTTATTTTTTTTTCATTTAACTTTTTTTTCTAAATCATTCACTAAACTTAAGCTGGTATTAGGTTAGGTTTGGATAGGTTAGGTTAGGTTAGGTTAGGTTAGGTTAGGAAATGGCACAACACTTCATCTCTAATGGCAAGATAGCCGATATATTAAGATTGTATCCACTTTTTGCACTTAGTAACTATATCAGTTCTCATGAACAGAACCAAATACACAATGTGCTTGAATACTTCTCACGTAAATGTGAATAACAAAGTGTGAGGCCAGACATACTGCCTCACACGCCTGTACTCACGCATTTGTGAATAAGTTCCCCTTTATGTATAGAACTAAACAAATAATGTAATTGAAATACTGTGTAACAATCAGTGCCATAATATCCTGACAACGGGGGTTAATTATTATGACCCGTATTCTACTCTGTAATCCTTTTGCGTTACCGCTCACAGGATGAGTGTGGGGTGCACAATAAAGTAGCCGCTGTAAGCGGCAAAATCAAATCAAGTTTTGTTTCATATGAAAGCAAGACATTCAAGTTGCCTTGACTCACCATCTATTCAGTCACTGCCCCTCGTCAATCTTATATAAACAAATGCTTCCAGTCTGGGGAATATACACATACAGCACACACACACACACACACATATATATATATATATATATATATATATATATATATATATATATATATATATATATATATATATATATATATATATATATATATATATATATATATATATATATATATATATATATATGTGTGTGTCAACTGAATATTTTTGAAGAGTAATATTTGCTTGATCGTTTCAGGTTGTGAGTTCAGGAACACGATTTACCCTCAAGGAGTGGTGTATCTGGCTGGCTGCATTAAGATGACCTGCAGCGAAAGCAAATGGAAACCTAGCGGAGAAGTGGAGAGTCATTGTAAGTAAATCTCACCTCTGCCACCATTGTCACATCTCATACTAAATAGCAGGTCGTGACAAACAATACTAGTAACATCATTCTTCAGTGAAAAATAATATTAGTTACTAAAACAAGTTATTCAGAAACAGTTTACTGTTGATAGTGTAAGACCTTAGACTCAACATTATTCAGTATCAGCGAAAAAAGTACTTTAAGCAATAAAATAACAACAATGTATTGCTTATTCGATCTGATGATGAGCACAATTTGGGGGAGTCCTGGTAAGTAGGTTGTTCTCACAGATGATGTGTGAGTTATTTATCTCCACGTAATAATGGCCCGTAGTTTCTCGTGAGATGAATCAGGCTTGAGTTGTTCGTCTTTTTTTTTCTTTTTTTACGGGGATTAGCCCACCCGGACACAGGTCACTGACCCACATTGGGGCCTGGGGAGCGAAAATGTTCTACTACTACTACTACTACTACTACTACTACTACTAATAATAATAATAATAATAATAATAATAATAGTAATAGTAATAGTGATAATAATAATAATTCATAGTAAATAATATTTCTAATAAATTTACAAAATTGAAAATAAACTATTAAATTAATAATGATAATAACAATAATAATAAAGAAAGAAAAAAGATCAAGAGTGAGAAACAATATATGTATGTTGTGTTGTCAATGGTGAGAGAAACAATCGAGACCCTGCAATTGTGTGTAAATGAGGCAGAAAGTCAGATCAGCAACCTGGGACTTGGTCACAATTTTCGTGATGTCATATAGCAGCAGGGTCTACCATTAGACAACACATTATGCTTCCTAATTTCAGAAGTAGTTGTGAGGGCAACAAAACAAAATATAACAGTACAAAGCAAATAGTTTCCAACTCTTATGGTTAAAAAGTCTTTTTGGCTTAAGACTGGAATTGATAGGCTTCACGAACAGGTTAACAAGTGAGTGTAGCTGTAGGCTTTTCTTCTAAGAGGCATTGTGTAAATAAACTGGTGCCAACGGTAATTGTCACCGCTGACATTGGGTTCTGTAAAGGCAGTTGTTTTAGTTTTTAATTTTGGAAGAAAGCAAACGGTTGATGACATATTATCAGTTTTGTACTCACCATCACTAAGGTTTATAGAATTCAATTCTCTAATCAAACTAGCTCAACCATAAGTCTTTCTGTGACACATGATGATTTATGCACTTCTAAACTGTTTTCCCAATCTATGGGATGATTATTGTTCCTTATATGAACGAACAGTGCACTGCTTTCAGATACTGTACAGCACAAGTACAATATTATAACAGCATCTGAAAGCAGTGCACTGTTCGTTCATATAAGGAACAATAATCATCCCACATTTCGTACAAGCTAAAACTCCTCGTGAAATGCAAACCACCCTGAACCATGTACACGTAGCCTTTGAGAACCTCGGTCTTATTATCTCCACTGAGAAACCTAAGGTGTTCAACAAACAAGCTGGTAACCGCAGACGCGGTCCCGCCAAGTTCAAGATAGGTAACAACACTATTGACTATGTGTCTTCTTTTAAATATCTTGGTGTCTCCGTCCCCTGTTCCTTACCTGCCACTCAGAAGTGTAGTGGGGTACAACCCACATTATGGTGCTAATATTAGAATTGTTTAAACAATGTACACTTTGCTCACTTCCCTGTGGTATTGTGGGACCTCACAATTAAGTGTGGGTGTCAACATTGGCCTGATCCTCGACTATTTCCAGCGTGAACTGGATTACCGCCCGTTGTGTAGTCGACGGGAGTTGGGAGTTCTCATGGGCACTTCTCTCTCGGTATTCTAGGACCTTATTGGTGGGTGTAAAAGTCATCTTAGCCACGACCCTCAGCTGTTACTGTTTAGCTCTGACTTCACAGGATTTCAACACTGTTCACCACTGTTGAACACCATTTTCACTCCTTTCCAAACAATTGTCACTTTTATTGGGAATCTGCTTATTTCGGTGGGGAGGAGGGTTTGAGGGGGGTAGGGCCAAGAGTCTAGCCCAGACAGCTGCAACGTCAGATACGTCCTAACCCTCCAGTCGTCAGGACAAAAGCTTGTGTGTGTGTGTGTGTGTGTGTGTAAAGAGTAATCTAGTATTGTCTGGCATAATAAGGTTTTGTTTACTGCTTGCCGCAGGTAAACAGTGTGAAGTATTCAACGATCCTCATTTCTGGAGCTTTGACCGGCACAGGTTCGACTACCATGGAGAATGCACATACGCCCTCACACAGGAGCAATTCAGTCAGAGTCCCAGCTTTGGAGTTTTTGCAGAGTTCAAGTGAGTTTTGTGGTGAGATGTTTTTAAGCAAGATTCTTCTTGTAATTAGCTTGAATTTAATGTCAATAGTCTATAGTGAAGCATTAAGAGAATACAACTTATATCTAATAATTCATACATAACCAAAAACGGATTGAAAGGAATATGTGTTCCAGGTTATTCATATATATTTTTTTCTTATGAATGACACCTATTTCCTACGAATCACTCACGTGAGTAAATACCTCGAGTATATTTTTTTTGGAAGACGGTGGTATTCATTATTTCTTGTGGGGATGTGTAATTGTATCATTTAAATCATGTCAATTAATTAAAGGCACAGCTTATCAAAATTATATCATCATTCATTGAACCAGTAAAAGATATATGCTCACCATAATAGATGGTTATAATTTACTTTTCTTCGGAAATAAATTTTGCACCATCCTTGGCTAGTCATGTACAGTATAGTCTGGATTTACACAGTTTTTGTTTACTGCGGTAAATTTGATCATTTACGCGGCAAGCGGCTGGAGGTCCAGACGCACCGCACCATTTTTTATTCACGCCGTCCATTCTCGACCATACGGGAAGCGGCGCGGATATGGGTGCACAGTATGTCGTTGTTGCGTTATCACTGACGTCATATGACGTATGGGACTGTGATTGGGCCACTTATCCTTACCTCCCTCCGCCGTTAGCTGTTTTTGGTCTAATGTTTTATGACGTGGCCTGGTATGGGAGAGAAGCTACTGACCTAGCCGCGTCAGTCTCATTGTTCTCAGTCACCGCGTAACTGTTCTCACTTGTGCCCGCTAATCTGTTCAACAATGGCTTCTGCTTGACCCCCACCCCAGAAAAACCTTGTATTACCTGGACCCAGCCGCCCCAAGCCCAAGAAGATACGACGTGCCCTAAGTTACGAAGTTAAGTACAAGATCGTGCAAGAGTTGGAGAAAGGAACGAGACAAGTTGATTTGGTGCGCCAGCATAGAGTGAACGAATCTACGATCAGGACGATCAAGAAGGATGCCGCCAAGATTAAAGAACACATGAGCATCTCAAAGTCTGCAGGTGCTTCAATGGTGAAGTACTGTCAGAATAAGGTGCTGCTCAAGACTGAGAACTTACTGGTGAGCTACTTAATTCGTCAGGCAAGACATAACATGGCTGTGGACACGCGGGCAGCGCAGGACTACGCTCGCGAACTGTACTCATCAGTGGCGCACAAGATGGGAATTGCAGAACCCAAACCCTTCACTGCTTCCTCTGGGTGGCTGCAAGGGTTTAAGAAACGGAACAAGATGACCAACATTAACATTGTTGGTGAAGGAGCCAGATGCTAACCGTGCTGCCGCCATGGATTTTCCTCCATTCTACGAGAAGTTATGGAGGAAGGACAGTACACCGACGACCAGGTGTTCAACATGGATGAATCCGGTCTGTTTTGGAAAAAATTACCTTCCAAGACCTTCGTTGTCAAGTCTGCCAGCAAGTGTCGTGGCCAGAAGTTGCAGAAGGAGCGCATCACTGTCCTGTTTACCACCAATGCCTCCGGTACCTGTAAGCTCAAGTTGTCAGTGATCCACACAGCCAGCAAGCCGCACGCCTACAAGAACATGGACATGACCAACCTAAATGTCCACTGGCTAACCCTCTCCCTCTCCTGGTTTGACGACTGTTTCGTTCCTGACGTGAAGAAATTCTGCACGCAAAATAATGTGCCATTCAACATTTTGTTGCTGCTTGACAACGCACCAGGACACTCGCCTCTACTGTTGGATCGTCACCCCAGTGTAGAAGTGGTCTTTCTTCCTCTCAACACTACGTCGTTAATCCAGCCCATGGACCAGGAGTTGATATGCAATGTTAAGGCTGCAGTCACCGCAAAGAAGTTAAAGCTCCTGAACGACTACACCAACACCAAGGATGAGTTGTGTAACCTTCTGAGTGGCACAGATAGCGAGAGCGACGACGACGAGGATCCAGAACAAGAGTTGGCGGAGCATGACGTGCGAGTTAAACAGTTTTGGAAAATGTTTAATGTAAAGAAAGCTGTTGATTTCTTGGTGGAGGCATGGGGGCAGCTGTCTGTGGCAACGATTCGTCACGCGTGGCGGCATGTGTTGCAAGGTATCCCAGGTGGGAGGCAGAGGCAACCTGTGGCTGGTGAGGTTCTGTCTGTTGCAGTGGCACTGAACCTTGCAAGAGAAGCTGCACAGAGTGTTACAGCTGCAGGCTTCTCCGAGGCCACCAATGACGACATCATGGAGGTAATCAGGGATCCTGAGGTAACTGCCGACGAGATGTTGGAAGATGATGACGTCAGTGAGGAGGCAGGTGGTGCGGCAGCAAGAGAACAGAAGTTAACTCATGGTGATGTAAAGGATGCCATCGAGTTTGCCGAGAAACTAAAGCTCACCCTTTCAAAAGACCATGTCAATCACCGGTATGAAGTGTTCAATAACCTTCTAGACCAAAGTATGGAGCAGTACATCAAGGTGTATGACGACAACATCAACACTAGCCGTCAGCGTAGCATCACCGACTTCTTCGCCCGCAACCCACCACAGCCAGCCCAAGCCAGTGATAGTGACAGTGATGGTGACTTTGAGGGGCCCTGACAACTGTGGTGGATAGTGATGGTGATTCACCTAAGGGCCACTAATCTGCCCTCTGCCTTTGAACCAGCCCCCATCCTCGTATGCCGACCCATCTCTTCTACTAACGTAAGTGTTAAACCTGGATTTTCTTTTATCTGGTCCAGTATATTATTCTCTTATTGATATTTCTCTTCTATATTATGTGTGTGTGTGTGCATACCATCATAAAATTAAGATACTATTTTTACTACAACGTACGTATTGTGTCGGAAAAAGTGGAGTCTGGGGGTCGGCCCAGTCTCTATTTCAATTAATCCCATATGTCCTGTTATTTCATTTACGCGTTGCTCGTTTTACGCGGACCTCCACGGGTTCAATTGACCGCGTAAATGCAGACTATACTGTATTAGGTTGATATCATTCACTGCAATAATACTCATTGTTCGCCCCAGTAAGAATAACTTTTGTTTCACATAAAAAATGACAAGAGGAGCAGGCCGGTAGTTCAGTAATCGGACCAAATCAGAGCCTAATTAGGAGTCATGCCAAAATAAGGGCCGTGATTAGGGAAACTCTAACAAATAAGTCATCGCTCAGAAAGACACATACTGTACTCTAAGCAGTGTATGAGTTTATTAAAGGTAGGTAGAATCTCTGGCTAATTAATCCTGATAATCTTGATAATGGCGTAAAAACTCTCCCACAGGAAATGCTACAAAGTACCATCTTGCGTGCACAAGACTATCTTCAAGGACAATCCCAAGCTGGTTATCAAGATCGGTGAAACAGGTCTCAACAATCCCAACATCTTTAACGTAAGTTGCTATTGTCAAATAGCTGAATTTGGAGAAAAAAAATATATTATTTTACTGGAAATTAGACAAATTATGAATAGAACTGAATATATCATGAAAGGGTAGCAAGTAAACTAATCAAATTATATAAAAAATAAGCCTATATGAAAATAGTTAGACAATATTTAGTAAGGGAATGAATAAATATTTGTGTTATTAGAAAGTGTGTATAACGTTTTTATCAGGAATGCCCAGAAAACAATATTTTTCTTGTTCCATCTCGCCTTGTCTATGACTGGCAGATTTTATACAAAAGTTACTCAGTAGTCACAGTCTGGCATGACAATACTGGACTGTGACTACTGAGTAACTTTCAAAAAGAGCCTACAGAGTTTAATCAAAATGATTCCACAGAACGAAAGTCATTATAGTACAGTATTTAGTGTAAGTTTGATAAATAGTTGCTGTAATACCTAATGAATTCAGAGCTACGCTGATACTTCACCATTAACTCCCGCCTCCTGCAGCTGCTTGTCAATGGAGAGACGTTCACCATCCCTGCTGATAATAACGCCCACAGACTGAAAGTGAAAAACTTAGATCATGACGTTCTCGTCTGGCGTCACGGCGCTTGCGTTAGGATACTTGGTTCCATGGGACTTGTGGTAAGTCTTGTACAGTACTTTGCATTTTAGTGATATTCTCATTATGATTTAGCAACACCCAGATGACCTTCGCTTGGGAGAAATATCCTTGTGTATTTTATAATTTCCTTTATCATTGCCAAAGGTACTGTACTTAAATATAATTAATAAAAAAATCTGCATACTATTAACGTTACAGAATCAAAGTGCAAATCAATATGCTGGTCCTTATAGGTATACTGTAAGAGCTTTGGTACAATATTATCAAACATTACGTTATGTTAGATATTGTGAACACAAGTATAATGAAAGCGCCTACATGTGTATTCCCTTTATGACGATATTTACGTGTTTATTATTTTTTTACCTACCGATGTATTAACTGGGGGTCATGCAGCGTTTTTATTAAGACCTGGACATCTGCTGAACTGATTAATAAAGCTGATGTCTGGGCCAGCTACGACTGTTTCTGGAACGGTCTCCATTTAACCGACAATAAAAAATAATAATAACCAAACCTTTGTTATACTCTTAATTATTATTTTTTTATCCTTCAGAGTTGTCGTAGTTTATTATGTTCTTTTATTGACTTACACCAAAGAACTACTAACTCCTTCAATCCCTAAGCGCATTAAAATAATCGTCTCTTAGTTAAGTCGCCCCCTAAAGTTATATACAATACACCTAACTTATACTTTTTCTAATGCTTCATGCTCTTACATTAGCTTCAGAAATGCCAGAATCGCATTGATGTCTGGGCTCATAAGGTTCTGAAGGGAAAAATTTATGGACTGTGTGGAACTTTCGACGACAACAAGAACAACGACTTCACCAGCCGAAGTAAACAGCAATTCCCACTCCAGTACCTAGCGCCAGCAAACTTCGCGGAATCCTGGAAGGTATGGTGCGTTTTGAACAATCTACATACACAAATCACATAAAGAAACGTGTTGTACATACAAACGCATTTTAGTGAGTTTAACCAAGAGTACCGTAAATGTCATAGACTTTGAGCATTCCGCCTCAAAGTTCACAGAGCACTGGAGAGACTGAAGGGTGATATATCATATATTTACCGGCGGCATATATGATGCTCAACAATACATATCAACCGGAAATCAGCCATACTTCCATTTAACTGTTTAAGTCACACGGACGTAGGTTTTTTCCCTTTGTTACACTCTAAACTATTTTGTGTTCATTTCATGTATCGGTCAAATTCATCATGAGTTTATTAACACCAATATTTACCTCGAAAATATATTGAGTAAATTATAAACTTGTTTTTATCCAATATAAAGATAAAATATATGATCAGAGGCGTATAGATAACATTGGAATACTCCCTATTTCATTGTACAAAAAATTGCTGCCATAATGAAAAAGCTTCCAGTAATCTATATATTAAAAATATATCAACATTTGAAGGCGAATGCAACTTACAATTTTAGGTATATTTAATCCCATGAAAAATAAGACATGAGACACAGGTTTATCCATATTGCTATGTGGTAACAGTAACAACGTAGCTCTGTACAGACTCTTAGGTAAACAGAAGAAGAATTGTCAAAAATAAAAAAAACTAAGCAGTTTTCCTCACCGCTGGCGCCATAAATAAGTTAAAATTTTATGAACATCATTTTTTTTTTCATTTCCAACGTCTGTATTAACCTAACTTAACCTACCCTACCGGACCAAGCCTCCCAATCTCAGTCATTTTCGGAAACTTTGTTCACAGTTTAACGTCCAAATGACCGTTCTTTTCAATTCAGTATTTGGAGCCTGAATACAAAAAAAATGTAAAACTGAGGGATGGAGGCGTACTGGACCAGATACAGCCCTCCAAGCTTAAAATTAATTGACCCAAAATTTGAAGATGACGACAAATTATCTTCAAGAAAAATAAAGAGCATGTGACAGAGGAAAAGTAATTTGTCTTCCTCTGTTGGAGAAAACAGTTCTTCTCATTTTTTCCATCTACATATTTAAGATTTAATGAACATAATAGTAACACAAGTTTATTTAAAATTTTGATTCAACACTTACAGATAAAGCCCCTGCTGGTAACCTAGACATGTGAAACAGTTCCCGAAAGAAGAGCAAGAGGCACATGAAAAGTTACTCGTGAAGAATACAGTAATGTTTTTTCACACGCAAACACTCACACGCACAAATATATCAACACTTGGCGGATCTGTTGTTTAAATAAATGCATTGCAATATGAATTAATAGATACTACGAAAGTAGTTTAGAAGTATGATAATATTTTCATACTGCATCTATAATTTTCTGTTATTGCTGTTTACTTCATCAGACCCAGGGGGGCCATTGTAACGCAGGAAAGAGGAAGAGGAGCATCACGGAGGTATGTATGTTGTAACGAGGAATATTATCACAAATGTTATTATCAGTTAAGAATTTATTGTTTTAACTTAAACTTAATATTTGGACAAATATTTAATTTCAACATTTACAATCGTATTCCTCATAGTGTTATGCTATGGAGTTACTGTAGTATCCTGTACAAAACGAAACAGAGCCACGAGAAAATAAGAATGAAGGAAATTAAGCGGGCCCATTGCCCCATACTGGGCAGCCCCATTTGCACCCTACTTTTATGAGTCAAGTAAATGTTGAACATATACTTGAGGCTTCACAAATAGTTCGAGTTAATGTTGGCGTTAGGTAACTTGTTCCACTCATCCGCAACTCTTTTTCCAAACCAATGTTTACCTATCCCGCGCCTAAATCTAAATTTCTCTAATTTAAAACTATTGTTATGTTTCGCTCCTGGTTTGATAGTGTAAGTACTTTAGAGACGTCACATTATTTAACCTCATCTTTCATTTATATACTTCTATCATATCGCCCCTTGCACTACGTATCTTAAGAGAATGCAAATTCAGTTTTATTAATCTATTTCTATGCTCAAGGTTCCTAATGCCCGGGATAAACTTTGCCATCCTCCCCAGAATGCATTTTAGGCATTCAATTATCCATTGCATTATGCGATGGCCAAAGGCTTTGCTCATACCGAAGTACAGTATACCACATCCACAATACTGTATGTTACAATCCTCAACTCACGCGTGAATGATCAACTAATGACTCCTAGTCACTTCCCTGAAAGAAAGTTTATGTTTCTGTTTATGGAGCACAATTTATGCAAGTGCAAGTCAAAATATAAAACAATTTGATCTTTGTTGTATCTGTTTATGTTAGATTAAGTATAAATTCACTGATGCATAATAATAGCTTAATCTCTTCTTTTTGTGTGTATGTATTCAGGAAAGTGAAGAAGTTACCAACCAATGCAAGAAAAATCCTGCTGAATGGAACCGTTTAGTGGCCAAATGTAATCAAGTTGTTGGTGGGACTGCATCCCAGGGCCACAAGGCTAGTACAGAGCTGTCCACTTCTCTCATCGGTGAGTTTTTGTAGTATAATGGGATGATTTTTAATGCCTCTGGTTTGGGTGCTTAAGTGAATACAATGAACACTATCCTTGCGCAGCTGTACTCTGCCAACCCATCTAGATAAATGGTACAGAATGTGCTGCAAATTCATTAATAATCTATGGAAAATTAGCAGGACGAAGCTGATACAAAATGATCACAATTCTGAAAAAAATGGGTACCAGTATTTCTTACCCCAAATCAGAGAAATTAAGTGCGACAAATGATTATACCCTAAACACAATTAACAGAAACAAAATATAATATAAGTATTTATTCAATCAAAACGTTAGATCAGTTTTATGTGCTTAAATTTAATAGGAAATAATTATTATCATATTAGATGTCAACTGAAAATTAAAGCACCTATGATAAATAACAACGACAGATTACCAATATCTAATACTAAAACATTAGTCCGTCGCAGGAGGGTTTCGGTATGAACTTGTTACGCAGTATGACAAATATTATGAAGCATGATAATGATATTTGAGTAGCACATATAAATACTAACAACCCAAAGGAAATGTTCAGCCAAATAAGTGTAAACTAATGACGCTCACAAAGGTAGAAAGGTCCAACCCTGAAAAGGGTACTACATGAAGAAGACACTTGCAGAAACTATAAAGGTGGCGTCACACTAGGTACTTTTCCTCCCACCATGTTGGCGCGTCTGCCCAACGCAACGAAAATAGCAACAAAGCATTTAGACGAGGTTGGCCAAGGATCCCATTACTACAGTTAAGGCCTTGCAGGATTGTGCTATAAATCTTCAATTGCTAAAGCAAGTGAGGCGTCTGCAAAAGCTAAAGAAAAGACAACGGGTGAGTCGTGTAGTTTCTTAACACATGGCAGTGATTGGCTAGTCTGGTGTGTGTGTGTGTGTGTGTGTGTGTGTGTAATAATAATAATAATAATAATTAACGGTTTATTGAAAAAGTTCTGCAGCCCGAAGGCTGAAAATAAGTGTGTGTGTGTGTGTGTGTGTGTGTGTGTGTCTGTGTGTGTGTGTGTGTGTGTGTGTGTAATAATATAATAGTAATTAACGGTTTACTGAAAAAGTTCTGCAGCCCAAAGGCTAAAATAAGTGTGTGTGTGTGTGTCTGTGTGTGTGTGTCTGTGTGTGTGTCTGTGTGTGTGTGTGTGTGTGTGTGTGTGTGTGTGTGTGTGTGTAATAATAATAGTAATTAACGGTTTACTGAAAACGTTCTGCAGCCCAAAAGGCTAAAAATAAGTGTGTGTGTGTGTGTGTGTGTGTGTGTGTGTGTGTGTGTGTGTGTGTGTGTGTGTGTGTGTGTGTGTGTGTGTGTAATAATAATAGTAATTAACGGTTTACTGAAAAAGTTCTGCAGCCCGAAGGCTAAAAATAAGTGTGTGTGTGTGTGTGTGTGTGTGTGTGTGTGTAATAATAATAATAGTAATTAACGGTTTACTGAAAAGTTCTGCAGCCCGAAGGCTAAAAATAAGTGTGTGTGTGTGTGTGTGTGTGTGTGTGGTGTAATGCGTCTACAATGGCAGCATAATGTTAGTGTTAAGGTACAAGCACTGCTCGCGTCCTCTAACTTTCTGCTGCCGCCCCTGGCTAGCCTCGTGGCGAACAGGGAAGCAACTTGCATAAGTCTTCCCCTGCCAGTACACAGCCTCTTCAACACCAAGACCCCTGTTGTGCCTCCTCGTGGCAACACACGGTAACTGGGTAATCATGGGCCGAGGCTAGACCAGCAGGGGATCTCGGGGTAGCAGTGGGCCCCAGAGGGACGGCGTATAGGCCCACTGGCATGTGGATACGTCCTGGCGCCTACCAACTGCTGCCCCGCTGACTTGCAGATTAACCTTGGTAGGAATAAGGCTACGGGGGTAAACCCTGAATGAAAAATCTGCTGTGGAGCCCTGCAACAGGCAGACATGCTTACAGAGCTCCAACAAGACCCCAACGGCGGTATAGGCGTAAGAGGTGACCAACATGGGAACCCAGCCACTACACCTGCGGATGTAGGCAAAGCATGATGGACAGGCTACTAAGGCGAAACTCAACAAACTGGGCTATCGGCAGACCATTGCAACTCTCCCTCTCCCCAGTCGTTGCAACACTGGATCAGAAAAATGGAGAGCCAAAATGTGTGGTTGCAGCCTGCGCTCCTGCCTCACCACACAAATCAACTCATGCACAGCCATCGTCTAGCTCACCATACTCATCATCGTCAAACCCTTATACCCCAAAAGTCCTATGACGACGGACGACTGGCGACGGGGACAGGCACAGATTACTGCCGGGAGTCTCTAGTCACAACTTTGCACATGGGCGGCATGGATATGATGGCCGTTTATGCACTGAGATCTAGGCAGCAGTGCAATCCGGTCCTGTCTGTACGACTGAGCAGCCCTTTCGAGGAACCATTCTGCTCACCCCACATGGGGAGGTGGCTAGAAAAGGTGCCTTAAACATAGCCTGCCTAAAGAACCAACCAGATTGGGCAACCGCACCCAGTAAGGTCATCCTTATGCGGTCGAAAACACAATTATAATCATAGATAAAAAAAAAAAAAAACTATACAACCCCCAGAAGTCACCAACCTAGGTGCCGTCCTTAATAACTCGTATCATTGTATCATAGCTGGATGATCGTCATACTCGATTCCGAGTGACAGCAAAGTAGTAAGTAGTAGTAGTAATCTGGTCAAAGAAGACCCTGAATAATGACTTAATACTACCAAAGAAATATTAAAGTGACGAATAAATGGAAACATGTCACCGTTTTATATATTTTAAATTACTATTGTTTAATGATTTATTTAAATTTTTATTTGAATATTCAACACCTAATATGAAGCTCATTTGAGCACGAAACCGGGCAACAAAGCTCGTCGCCAAACGGTTGTCCATTTATTGCAACAGGCGAAATCCTGATGCTTGTTGGGCCGTCAGGCCAGCGGCCAGAAAAACGGGCAACATGTTGGGAGAAAAATGTCCCAGTGTACCGCCACCAGAACTATATCTTGAGTGCTGCTGATAAGGAAAAAGTCCTAGGTGTCATGGTTGACGGGAATCGTAATCTTAAGCACCACATCAACGTTAAACGCAGCTAAGTAAACCCGATGATGGATGTAGTAAGATTATTATTTGCTTGCATGGACGTAGAAAACTCCAGGTGCTTATTTAAGCCATAGACTAGCCTCGAATATGACTAACTCGATCTGGAGTTCCTTTCAGATATATATATATATATATATATATATATATATATATATATATATATATATATATATATATATATATATATATGTTCGCCTCGCAAGCGAACGGACCTGGGTTCAATCCCCAGGCAGAGTGAAACTATGGGCAAGTTTATTTACGCCATTTGCCTCTGTCTACCCAGCAGTAATTGGGGAACTGGATATTAATCAATCTTCGGGTCGTATTCCTGGGTAATGGTTAGCCAGTGCATTTGGCGAGTTGTCCGGTCTTCTCGGACTATTCCTTGACACTGGGTTATGCAGCTCGTTAACTTAGGGTGTGGTTGTTGTGTTGGCGACAGCTTCTACACCTTAAACAAATTCACGCCTAGGTGGCCCTTGGGCCGGCCATCCTCGATTTTGAGGGACGTCTATTAATCATTATTATTATTGTCTGATTGTTAATATTGTCAACTCACTTTCTGGTAATATCTTACCATCACCACTGTATACCTGTCAACTTTGAAAGGCGCTAAATCGGGAGATTTTTTGGGGGGGGGGAGGGGCGGGCGGTGGGGGCATTGCAACAGCAAGTAACGACTCGGGGGTGGGGAGAGGCAGTCTTCGCCAGAAAATTTAGAAGAGTGCACTTTTATGGATTCAGCGAAACTTCAGACATTTATTTACACGTATAAAAAGTGAAATGGCTGGGTTTTTTTTTTACACTGGGTTTATATACTAAGAGTATTACACACTGTAAATCTATTGTCTTTTATTACTTTTGGATATGAATAGGAATTCTCTAATTCATTCTCCTTTCAATTTACAAAACTGATTTTGCCGATTTGCATGCTGTTTATCACAGCTTGTCGAGGCACACTTTACACTTGATGAAGACATTTTGAAGCTGGAAAACGAAAAACCTTTATCTAAGAATGCATCAGTTTGCCAAAATCGCATCAGTGAAATACTGTATTAAGAATGGGAATATTTATTATAAAATTGTTAGGTATAATATATAATATGGCATGCGGTATCACAATATCAAAGAAATTATGATTACAGGAATAGGATATAAAATATTGTTAGGACCTTCCTCCTTTCACCGCTTACCCAGCTTCCACCATTGGTTACCAGCGGCTTGGGTCGTATGTACAGAAGCAGTATATATCTCACAAGAGTTGTCGAATTACCACTGGCTGTCCCGCCAGTCTCCGTAATTTCCCGACGATCGGTATCAGTGCACAAACAATAACAGGCAGGTATAGATTTCCACCAGGTCGCACAAACACACTTGTGAATTGCAGTCTGCTTTAATAAGTACTGATTCTTCACAACACTGTAACAGGGTAATGTCTTCACAGCTTGACTCCTCTCTGAATATATAAGGCGTTTATTGTAAGGCGTTTTCGATGCACGGATTAGCTAATGCGGCTTAGCTATTCTGTATGCGCAGACGCTGCTTTTGACATATGCGCATGATATATTCGGAGGGAATGGCTAACACCTCGATCAGGCGTTAACCTTGTGCAGCGCCCAAGGGGCCCAAATAGCTAACAACCAATCAGCGAAAATATGTAGATGATGGCCTCTTATGGAGAATATTTTGATTACTATTGAAGAGTTGGGGGCATGTAAAGCAATAAAAAACTGTAATATAATAATAAAAATAATTCTATATACGGTAGTATATTGGGTAGGACCTAAAACAAAGCGTATGGCGTAAAAAAATGAAGAATTGCGCCTAGTTGAAACCAGTTCTGGCTCCGCCCATTTTTAAGTGTGAGCTATCCGATTTCATTAGCCGTAGGTGATTTTGGTGGAACAATATTGATAATTACTCAAATATGATTAAAACTTTAATATCATTACTCATAATATACTTTAAATGAGGGTGAAAAGTTTATTACAGTTCTGTAAATGCATATAATATGCGAACACTTGTAAACAAAGCAATGTAGCCGCGAGACGAGAGAACATACAAAATGGGTCAAGCCATGGTTATTGTTGACTCATTTACTTTTTGTCTTTCTTTCCATATTTTTCAATATAGTTTCTTCACTATTTCTTTCCGTATTGTGTCCAAATAACAGTTATAATTTTATTGTTTTCTGAAGACTGTGTTGTACAACAGTTATTTCCAAGACGCAGCACAAATGTCATATTTTTTAATGACAGTCCGGGAAAGCTAACGCGTTAGCTATTCCTATAATTCCTTGCATCTTAAAACGCCTATAGTCAGCGCACTACCAGTCTACAATTCCTTTAGTCTTCTCACTTTATATTAACCACAACAATTCCACAATACTTCCACAACAATTGTCTTCAGTTGTTCTGCTAGGCGGCTTATTCTTTACACGATGAACAGAAGCAAGGGACTAATTGCCCCAGGCAGCCCGCGCCCGCTTATAGACTCTGTCAGAAGCTTCTCGAACATCCTAGAATCACCCACAGACGCCTGGGAGATTCTAGAATGTTCTACTCTGATCGAAGCTTACAATAATAAGTAAATCAGAACAAAAATGTTGTAATACATTCTAGAACATTCTTACATAATTAATACATCACTATATAGACGAAAATTTCACTAAATTTGTCAAAATAACTGCTGCTTGGGAGAGAAAACAATCAAAACACATAGTTTACAAAATTATAATACGAAGTTATGCCTCGGCATAACAATACTATTGCTAATAGTGGCATAACAGTATTGGACCTGTGGCATCAGCGAGCCTATGAAGACTAAACTACAGACAAATTTTACTTTTATTAAGCTTATGTTATTGCAAAAATGATTGTTTCACAGAAATTTCAGTTGAATAATGCTTTTTGTTTACAAAATAACACGACTCGGTATAGTATAACAATGGTGCACGAAATAAGTAAATATTTACTCTATCCTGGTTGGTATTCTGTGAAGTTGAATTTTACGACTCTTTGTTTTTGTCAAACTTAATAATTTTGATATCGGGCGATTCTGGTCGCGTATCGGGAGATTTGGAAATTGGACTCTATAACGGGAAACCCCCGTCGAAATCAGGCGAGTTGACATGCCTACCACTGGTAATTCAGGTAATATATTTGTCGGCGCTGATATCTTATCGGTAATAATTTATTATTATCACTAACGGGTTACTGGAATAACCTGGTTATCTATCACCATTAGTCCACAACATAAATTAAATGATCTAGCGGTTCTCCGCCGTCTCTGGAACTACTTTTAACCGGATTTCCTGATCATCACCCACAGACGCTTGTACCTTCGACCTGTGTATGATCAAGAGCGGAGCGGATAACCCGGAGAAAGAGATGAGCAAGTGGCTTGGGGCAGTGCAGGAAATGACAGAGGAGCGGATGGAAATCGAAGACCTTGTTGAAGGTGAGTAGTCAATTAACCTCTTGCATTAATAATAATAATAATAATAATAATAATAATAATAATAATAATAATAATAATAATAATAATAATAATAATAATGTTATTATTATTATTATTATTATTAGTGTTAGTATTATTATTAAAATTATTATTGTTATTATTATCATTATTATTATTACTGTATTATTATCATTATTATTATCATTATTATTATTATTATTACTATTATTATTATTATTATTATTATTATTATTATTATTATTATTATTATTATTATTATTATTATTATTATTATTATTATTATTATTATTATTAAGGATTCCCGAATTTCGATTTAACACAATATGACTTACAGTACAGGCTGGCCCACTATCTGATGGTAGGAAATTAATTGCTTTGAAAGTTTTGACCCAAAAAGTTTGCTCTTAAAACAAAAGTAGTATTTTTCACTTAATTAGCTATATGCGTGATAAGCGGCAACTACCATTGTCAAATATGGTGCAAGCTGTAGTGACTGATCCGAATGAGATAGTACTATGGGAGAGGCATGAGCTTTTTGTATGAAGGTGCCCTTAATGATTCTACCTCGGCCTCTCATTGCCTACTTCCGTCTCTTTTCGTTACTCCTCACAGTCTTGTTCCCTTATTGCCCTCATTCTGCCCTGCCCACTATCGGCCCTTCCCATCATCCCTCCATGTTCATCTGTTGCCAAGTCCCCACCCTTTACTGCCCACTTTCCGCCTAGCCTGCCACCACCACCACCCACCACCCCTCACTGCCGACTCTCTATCCTCACTACTTGCCCTTGACACCCTCGACTCAAGTTGTCACGCTCTTGTCTCTGAAGCCAGCACAAATATGCGTGCCTTGTTGACCGGTGTGTCAAGGTCAAACTGTTGTGGATCCCCTCTCACATAGGCCTCATAAAACATGACAGAGTTGATGCCCTCGCCAAACTCGCGTCTGACAAAGACACCGTTGAATACAATTTGGGTCTGTCAAAAAGGACCCTTAAAACTGTAATTAGGAAAGAACTTATTGATGAGTTTGACGCAAGTAGACTAGTGCAAACAGGCACTAGTCTATCCATAGTTTACCATGATGAGATGTATCAAGTGAAACATGTATATGGTGCAAGTAACACGATCACTAGATTGCAAGATGTTGTAACCGCTAGATTAAGGTTAGGATATAAGTACCTCTGGCAGTATGTTTCTCAAGCAGATGGAAATAAGACTAAATGTAAAGTGTGTGGCCAGACATATAGCCACACACTTGAACACTACGTCCTCGACTGTGTGAAGATAGAACCTTTTAGGGACAGGTCCAAGCGCACTGTGTGTGAAATGGCACACTTCATCTCTAATGACAAGATAGCCGATATATTAAGATTGTATCCACTTTTTGTACTTAGTAACTATATCAGTTCTCATGTTCAGAACCAAATACACAATGTGCTTGAATACCTCTCACGTAAATGTGAATAACAAAGTGTGAGGCCAGACATACTGCCTCACACGCCTGTACTCACGCATTTGTGAATAAGTTACCCTTTATGTATAGAACTAAACAAATAGTGTAATTGAAATACTGTGTAACATTCAGTGCCATAATATCCTGACAACGGGGGTTAATTATTATGACCCGTTGTAAACTCTACTCTGTAATCCTTTTGCGCTACCGCTCACAGGATGAACTGTAAGCGACAAAATAAAAAATCAATACCTCACTGCCCACCTTCTGCCCAGCCCACCACCCACAACCCTCCATTGCCCACCTACTGCCCAACCTACCACCCCACACTGCCCATCATCCTTCACTGTCCAATTCCTGTCCTACCCACAAACCCACACCGCCCCAACTCCTGTTCTACCCACTAACCCGCACTGTCCTTAACACAAACCCACACCGCCCCAACTCCTGTTCTACCCACTAACCCGCACTGTCCACCCACTAACCCGCACTGTCCTTCCCACAAACCCACACCGCCCCAACTCCTGTTCTACCCACTAACCCGCACTGTCCTACCCACTAACCCGCACTGTCCTTCCCACAAAACCCACACCGCCCCAACTCCTGTTCTGCCACCCAACCTACCCACTGTCACCCCACTGCACTGTCCTACCCACTAACCCGCACTGTCCTTCCCACAAACCCACACCACCCCAACTCTGTTCACCCACTAACCCACTGTCCTACCCACTAACCCGCACTGTCCTTCCCACAAACCCACACCGCCCCAACTCCTGTTCTACCCACTAACCTGCATTGTCCTACCCACTAACCCGCACTGTCCTTCCCACAAACCCACACCGCCCCAACTCCTGTTCTACCCACTAACCTGCACTGTCCTACCCACTAACCCGCACTGTCCTTCCCACAAACCCACACCGCCCCAACTCCTGTTCTACCCACCAACCATCATTGCCTTACATCCTTTTTAAATTTGATCAACTTGTACCTTTGTTAAAGTTATATTTAATTCCTAAAGACTGTGACTTTTGGGACTTTGTTTTATTAAACGTCAACTTCAATTATTTAAATAAGACAAATACTAAGAGGAAAACCATATTGAAAAAACACCATTTAAGACGACTTGTCCAGAAACTTCATTGGATCTAGGAATTATAATTTTTGTTTATGGTTAACTGAGATAGTGAGTCAGTGAGAGATGCACGAGACTCCAATTCTTGTTTCTACAGTTTTTTTAATCGGCGTTAAATCTGCTTAGCGACACAAACTTATTACATTGGTGTTTGTACAGTGAGGTGTTTTCTGAGCCATACATTAGCTGCCTCGCTCTGTGTGTGTGTGTGTGTGTGTGTGTGTGTGTGTGTGTAAAATTCTTGGATCCTCCCTTCAGGTGAGACGCCTCAAGGTATCCTTTGATCTCTCCTAACTCCCCTACAATGAATCCTTCTACAAAAATTGCCACTTCAGTCTCTTAATCAAATGAAATTTGGAATTTAGGTGTTTGAAGCATTTACTATTTCTTCGTTATTTTCTTCTCTGAAATTCCAAATTATGAAAAAAAGAAATTAAAAAGGGGTAATTTTTCGTTTTTCCTGTTTCTTACGTTATACAGATGTTAACTTTACATGAGTAAGTCAACTTACCTTTCAGTCAGATACTACGATATGTTTAGATTATTTAACTGTCTCTCATACCTTGAACCTTGGAATAGATTTATGCTGTTTGCCTCACATTATACAAACAGTTAGATCTGTGCTCATTATACCTGACAGTTCTATCGTGCCGGACATTAGAACAACGCCTGGATAATTATAATGGTGTTGATAACATAATAGCAGAGAAAGGAAGGTAAAATAGAAATATGGAAAACAACAAGTGAGTTCAGCGAAAATGGGAGTATATTGTATTTTTCACTTTGTAATGGGTATTTTTTTCCCAGAATGCAATGCTGCTAAGGGCGAGTGTGACGACAGCATGGAGACTCCAGTTCCACCCAGATTTGATCCTGAAGCGGAACCTGAGCCTACTACACCTGAGCCTACTACACCTGAGCCTCCGGTTGAGCCCGGACGAAAAGGTGGGAAGCATTTTCATTGTAAAGTCTTGCTCTATTTGTTGAAATATAACCATAATTGACCTAGACAGAAATCGAATTGATGCTCAGTGGTGACCCAAGCAGGACGCTGTTGGACGGTTAGATGTTGCGGGTAACTGGCAAGACGTTCTTAACACATATTATGGTGTTCTTATCTGCTCAGATGATTTAACACTTGGATGTGTTGAGGGCGAAGCCTTGTGCTCCTCCCTCAGCCTGCACTTGACTGGTGTCCTCTGAAACTGGCTCCACCGAACCTGCCAGAGTGCCGTCGTCCAAGAACTTATAGGTTGAGTTCGTGGACAGACTACCGATATGCTCCTTTGTCGTAAAGCAAAAATGCAGTGGGACAAGTGGATCCCATTGCCGAATGCCTTCCTCTGACGAGATTCATGTTTACCTAAGAGAAGGGTTAGATCCTGGCTGCATTCCGCCGCCATGAAGGACAGGTGGCAGCATTAACAATAATGGATCTTTGATCACTTTACCCTGGTCTGGTTGAAGGCATTTTTGAAGTCTAATTTAACTACTACTTGGTCTTCAGCGAAGAGGATAAAAGTAAAGTAAAAGATACACCTCGTGAGCTCCCCAGCATCACCGACAAGGCCTAAGTTGATCATCCCCTTAAAGTTTTGCGGTTTTCAACCAAGATAACCCACCGCTGAGCCTGCTGGGATTGACACTACCACCTTTAACATCTCTTATTTCGGTAAAATTATAGGGTTCCCCTGAGTGGTATCTTCGGGTTGTTGCCTCACGGACTTCTGGGTTGATGCCTCTCTCGTAACACCCTAGAAGCAACCTTGTGTTTTCCTTTTCTATCTAATGACCTAATTGTTCCTTGATTTTGGACAATTGAGGGTGTGTGTTGCTGGGTATCTTTTGGTGTCTGTTAGGTGGGTTCTGAGAAACTTAATTGAGTCGTCAACTCTAGGGAAAGAGGTAGTGATTTGCCCACTCTTGTTGGCTCAGCCAGAAAGGAGCAAGTTGCATCATGCCACGCAGGTGCCCTGGGCATCATGATTTGTCGAGCCTTCGTTCCTTTTTTTAAGGAGATCAATGATTTTACCCACTGCATGAGGTGAGCTGCCTTCGAGATGTGAGGTAGAGTCCAGGTGTTAGTTGCTATGATTGCCTACAGGAGATTTTCTGTTGGCTGAGACAGGGTCTTGGGGCAGGTGTTGAACCCTTCTCCCTGTGAAGGGCCTTCCTCAGCCAGGAAGCTCACCAAGTTTCCGGATGGTGTTTCTTAAATAATAAATAATAATAATAATAATAGTAATAAACGGTTAATGAATAGAGTTGCAGCCGGTGGCTGAAAATATACAGACTTACAGTACATTTAATTTAGACATTTACAGGGCTGTACAGTACATAAATCAGGAGTTGTTTATTATTATAGCAATAGATGGGATGGTGCTATTCTTATATCTATCAGTGCGGGCTCTTATGGGCTGAATTTTGTTGTAGTGGCGGACTGCGCGAGGTGGGGGGAGGCTGCCGGTGACAGGAGGTGTCAATGACGAGGGTGGTGCAGTAGTCCACTGCCAAACCTTGCTAGTGCTTGGTGGTGGAGGTCACTGAGGGATGGCATTTCCAGGGTGGAGAGAGCATTGATGTAGCTGGAGTATTCTGCGCTGAGCATGATTCTGCAGGCCCTTTTCTGCACCTTCTCTAGCCAACGTTGTTGGGTGGAGTTGAGAGAAGACGACCAGGCTGGTGAAACATACATTAGTTTGGGGAGAATAAAGGCGTTGTAGATAGTCCTCAGCTCTGGCGTGGGTGTCCCAAGTGACCTAAGTCGTCGTAGCATGTAGAGTCGGTATGAGGCTGCCATGATTGTGTTGTTTATATGGGCCTTCCAGTCCAGTTTGTGGTCTATGGTAACACCCAGGAGTTTGGCAGACTGCACTGACTGGAGAGGATGAGCACCCACTGTGACTGCTGGAGCTTGCACTGGAGTGGTGGCGGTATTGATGTGCATGACTACAGTTTTGGTGTGGCTGATGGTGACCTTGTTCTCCGTAGTCCATGCCTGTAGCCTGTACAGGGTGCCTTGTAGCGATGAGTAGTCTGGTGCCGTGTTGTCCACTGTAACCCCCACAGTGCAGTCATCCACGTACTTCCACCTGTGAGGAGTGTCTGATAGAGCGTCGTTGATCAGGATGAGGAAGCACAGTGGTTCCATCTTGGTCCCCTGGGGAACACCGCAGGTGAGGTGTTGGAATGTGGAGATAGAACCCTGATACCTCACTGCCTGACGACGTCCACTCAAGAAATCAGTGAGCCATGAGACCAGGTTGGTGGGCAGCCCTAGTGCAATGGCCTTGTTGATAACAGTGCAGTGATCAACAAGGTCAAAGGCCTTCCTGAAGTCAACAAGGGCAACGGTCAGTGATGCCTTACGTTTCTGCAGGTTTTTTGTGCAGAAAGTCCAGAAAACTAGCTAAGCAGTGTGATGTAGAGGAGGTCCTCATATTGCCAAATTGCTGTGGATCAATTGAATGATAGATTCTAGCAAATGCCCACTCAAAAACAAAGTCTTCACAGAGTAGACTGGGTATGGGGGTAATGGCAACTGGCCTGAGGTCGTTAGGGGACTGTGGGGTGGTGACCTTGGGGATAGGGGTGACAAATGCGGTTTTCCATTCATTAGGGCATTTGCTTTGTCTGAGGGTTGCATTAATAATAGAACAGAGGGGGGTGGCAAGTTCGACTGCAAACTCCTTGTATATTTTAATTGGGAGGTCAATTGGGGTCGTGGAGCGTTTGGATTTAAATTTCAGGAGTTTGTTGGCGATATCAAATGGTTGAACACTGGGAGGGGGGGAGGGGGAAGGTAAGTAGGCCGGGAGGAGAGTGAGGTCAAGACTGGATAAGGTATGACATATGGTAGCAAAGTGGTTATTAATTATCTCAGCTGCCTCCTCACTAGGTAAATGTGAGATGAAAGGAAGTGTGGAAGACTGACGGTTAAGACCACAGAGATCTTTTACCTTGGAGTACCACTGATCGATGCCGACCTCCTTGAGGCCGTGCACTTTCCTGGGATAATAAGACTTCTTGGCCGACTTGATTTCCCTGATGACCTGGTTACGTAGACTTTTGTACAGGCGGTTGTTGGTGTAGTATGCCTTGTTGCGCTGCTCAACAAGTCTTTTTATGCGGGGTGTAATCCACGGGACATCATCTGGGTGGATCCTCAGTGTCTTGGCTGGAAAGAAGTGGTGGTAGGCTTTGGTGATAGTGTCCAGGTAATTATCCCACTTGTTCTGCACATCGTCTAACGTAATCACTTCAGTCCAGGGATACCGGGTTATCCATTGTCCGAAACGCCGCATAGCAGAGTCAGGGGTGGGTCGGTAAGTCCTGGTGGCAACTGGCGGTCGTGAGATGGCATTCCAATGTATGGGAAAGTCGACTATTTGTGCAAGGTGGAGGTGTTGGGTGATGTCACTGATGTCTAACTCATTGAAGTCACCGCATATCACTAGTTTAGCATGTGGAAATCTGGATCTCAGGGAGTCAGCAGTGTCTATTATATGAGTTATCAGTACATTGGCGGTTGGTGCGCGGGTGGGGGGTGGAGGAAAACAAACAATGAGGGAGGCAAGCTGGCGGGGGTGGGAGGTGGCAGGTGGGAGTGACCTGAACCCACAAGGCTTCTACATCTTCAGGTACATTAACACGTAGAGGTGATGGTTTGAGGTCACTGCGACAGTACAGCACTACACCTCCACCTCTCCTGTCCTTTCTAAGGTGGTGAAATAACTCATAGTTTTCTATGGCACAGATCTCAGGAACAATTTGCCACGCCTCGGTAATCGCCACAATACCTGCACCAACTGACTTCACTGTGACACTGACCTCCTCCCCCTTGTTGCATAAAGATGTAACATTGGACAGCAGTAGGGATGGTAGGCTGTACCATAGTCTCGGCACTTCATAGCGAGCACACTGACTTTCAGGCACTGGCTTGACTTTCCTATGCATGCTCGGAGTGATGATAGGGATTCGTCTAACAATGCGGCGACCCCGTCTGCAGCCGCGGTTGTGAAAGATTCTCAGCGCCTTTAGTAGAGTGATGGAGGAGGATAGCCAGCACAAGACTTCAGCCGAAACAGGTCGGTGCGACGATATCGTGCCACTGGAACAGACATTCACAAGTCTGTCACTTACAGTCACTGTCTACCCGTAAAAGTACTGAACTGCCTTAAGTAACTACAGGTCGACGTGATGACCTTGGCTGCTACGGAGCGCCAGGAGACACGTCCTCACACAGTGAGGTCACTAAGGTTAACACTGCAGTCTTCCCAAATGTGGAACAGTTGCCACGACTGTCATTTGTCATAGAGCCACAGTTGTCCGGGTTAGCATAGGACATTTAGAAATGAGTCATTTTACCATAAATGCACCATGGTAATGAAGTTATGGCAATATAAACCTAAAATTATCCTTACATCATAAAATGGTTATTTGCATTTTATTTCAGGCTTATTCTATCAATAATCCCCCAAAAATAATGAAAAAAAAAAAAAAAAAAAAAAAAAAAAAATTATATATATATATATATATATATATATATATATATATATATATATATATATATATATATATATATATTATATAATATATATATATATATATATATATATATATATATATATATATATATATATATATATATATATATATATATATATATATATATATATATATATATATATATATATATATATATATATATATATATATGTGTCTTGATAAAAATCACACAGGCAAAAACTGGTGTCATTGTTTCCTTTGCCTGTCATATTTAAAATTATCTTAACACGTTTTCATTGTGGATTTACATGATATATATATATATATATATATATATATATATATATATATATATATATATATATATATATATATATATATATATATATATATATATATATATATATATATCAGGATTTTTGTGTAGGTAGGTAGATAGGAATTAATTATTGTAAGTTTTACATTTACCTGTGTTACTGTTACAGTGTGTAGCCCATATGGCTGTATCTTTGACGTGCTCTTCGACCCGGAAAACTTCGCAAGAAAGAAGAAATAGATACAGAAGCCGGTAATGGTATGACTCACCTGTGTAGCGATATATTATTACATTATTCATATACTGTAATATCTACATTTTTATTTTTTTTAATGATATTGTATATGTCGCATATTTGCAGGACTGCTTCTTGTTTGTTTGTTTTTTATTTTGTGTCTTGAGACAGTAGGGGCAACAATAACCATAGATAGGTAAAGTACAAAGCCTTTTGCCACTCATTCATAGTTAGCTGTGTTGAACTTGCTGTGGAAAATCAGGTTGATTTTTTGTTTTGGATAAAATTGATCTCTTTTTGCATAATTTTTGGGTTGATAGAATGAAGGAATGATAATACGGTTATTCTTTTGTGAGAGGTTGCATATATTCTGGACTGACTGGTGTCCTATTGTACTTGTGTGGTGAGCAGGTAGGTGGGAGGGTGGATGAGCAAGGAGATGGGAGGGAGGATGAACAGGTAGGTGGAAGGGTGGAATGGTGGAAGTGTAGTTGAGTGGGTAGGTGGGAGGGTGGATAGTTGAACGGGTGGATGAGCAGGTAGGCAAAAGGGTATCAGGTGAGCCCAGCGTCACTTGGCTCTTATTCAACCAAGAGAAGGTACCGAGGGAGAGACCCACCGGTGGGTAAGAGGAATACCGTACTATAATAATAAAACATGTCCAACTGTCACCGCTACACAGGTGGCCCCGGGCCATGAGGCTGTACCATGTCTTGCAGTGACTGCTCCCTCACCAGTTATACCCTCAGTCATATATTATTCTTTCCATTTGTTTTAGCTGGCTTTCTGACTTTGGAGAAAAATAAACCATGCTTTATCTTTTATTGTTGTGCTGATGCAATAGACTTCAATTAATATATATATATATATATATATATATATATATATATATATATATATATATATATATATATATATATATATATATATATATATATATATGGTTCACATGCAATGTTAGATCAGTCACTATGATTACACCTTCATCTCTTACAACTATGCTGTATGAGAATAATTTACAGGTTGAGAAACAGACATGGCCTTGCTCTCTGTGTACAGGATGATGTAACCCAGTGGTGTACATACGTACTTTGGTGAGCCTCTGTTATCTATATGTATACTACAAGGTGATGTAAACTAATATTGTGCACTCCTGTGCATTTGTTCTGTGTTCGCAATACTGTGATCTGATAATGTACGCTGCTGTTCTTCTGTAATCTGCTGTTTCTGAATAAATTATCTGAATTAATTCTGTGTTCCTTTATTATAAACTGCTGTAATATTGTACAGTGTTCCCTTTCCCCATTCCGTCTCAATGTGCTTCGTGAAGCAATGATTTGAGTTCCGAGGGGGGGGGGGGCAGAGTGGTTGCTCTATTTCTTTTTTTGCTTGTCTATGCGAAATCTCAGGCATTTTTTGAGTTAAGAAGCTGAAATTGTGACCCAATTCTGACCAAATGCTTTGTTATTTTTTCTTTGGTTTTAACTAATACTTTGTTCATGGCACAGCATGTAGGGGGAGGTGTACAGTCAACAATAAAATTTTCTGCATCCTTATGGTGTTATACAATATGACACACCGGACCAAGAATTCTGAACAACACTCATTTACGTGGGTGATTCCTATTAATTTCTATGTATTAACTGTATGTGATATAAAAATACATCATACCGGTTATACAATGCATCATACAACCAGAAATGCCAACCTTACCAAATTAACATGGCTTCAGTCAGTGATCGTTGCAGAGGCCATCAGACCAAGAGGTGCAGAATATTTTTAGCTGACTGTACATTATGCTCACCACTACATGTTATATCCTCCCATCCTTATGAATCACTTACTAATCTAAGTTTTCTTTAGTAATTTAAAACTGGAATAAATCATCACTTCTCTTGACTTTCTATAAAGATTTAAGTAAAACTTACACAAATTACAGTGTAAGGCTAACTGTTGCAAACTAGATTGAGGAAGATGCCTAGCTTCACATATCAAGGAATTGGATTATTATACTGATTTTTTTTCAATAAAAAGAAGTGATCAGACAAGTGTAGTTGTTAAAGCTATTCACCCTTACCAGAGACTGGTGATATATGTAGCAAGATGATTTGAACTGATTGAGGTTCTATAAGTCACTTAGAAACAATACTCTGGGAGGGCGTTCAACATAGTATTAGCCCAGGTATTGTTATATGCCTCTATAGATGTCTTGAATAAAGACGAAAGCTAAGGTGCTCCGTTGTTTCCATTTTCCCGTGTGATTTTATCAAGATTTATCTTATCCACGTTTTTCATTGTGGATTTACATGAAATATATATATATATATATATATATATATATATATATATATATATATATATATATATATATATATATATATATATAAAGAGGCTCTGCAGAATGAGATTTGAAAAGAAAAGTCCTAGTCCTTCCCAGGTGCCTTTATTGTTACTTTATTTCTTGATTATATTTCTGGTAATTATTCCTTTTTTTCGCGAGATGTTTGATTTCTGATGTATTTTGATGTGTTTAGTTCAGATCTAATTAACCTAACCTAACCTAACCCCAGCGGGGGGCCCAAACCCCTGCGGGGGGGGGGGGGCATAACCCCAGCAGGACAAGAAAAGGCAGGTGGAGATTTATTGATCTAATTTCTTAGGCGTTCATCACTTGTGCGATTTTTCTCAAATAAACACGTTTCCAAGAGGCTTCAAGGGTTGAGGAATGTATAGATGAGGTGGAAATTGCGAAAAAGTAAGTGCTGCTATGTAATAGCCCCTGTCTCATCAACAGAAGTATTATATAAATGGGTTATTTACATCTGATTTATATTCAGATTCAACCCCTGTAACTTTCTACTGGCGATGAGGTGACATGTTCAATGCACGTGATAAGGTGTGCCCACGGGAAACTGCGTCATACTATGCTGAGTAAAGGCATAAGTAGCCGGCTCCTGGCCACCTAAAGCGGGCAGTAGTTTGATATCCTTGACTAGAGGAAGACGTTATTTGAGAGCCCCAGTGGATGGTTCCGTCTTCCCTCGAGGGGAACGACGTACCTATTCCGTTCTCCCTCGATGGGTCACTACTCAAAGTCACTCACACCAACTAATATCGAACGGACGTTGATTCACGTTGATATACATAAACGCCGTCCTTTCTCATCACACTCATAAATAGTGGAACTTATGGTTGATCTACACTCAGGAATTATATAAACATAAACTTTTCTAATAAAACAAGAAACTTCAATTGGGTTTCGTTACTAAATCCCAATATAATATATGTGAACCAACCTGGTTAATTGGGAATTAACCAACCGGCTCATATAGGTGGCAGTGGTGGGATGTCTCTAACACATTATCCGTCTTCCCTCGAGAGGAGAGCAACGTACCTATTCCGTTCTCTTCTCGATGGGTACACTACTCAGTGAGTAGCACTCCCAAACTAATATCGAACGGAGGGTAGGTGACCCCCCACTCTCTCCTCACGCTCATAGATAGCGGAAGACACGGTGATTTACACATCAGGAATTGCAGCAACGGTGGTGACGGATGTTTACCAGTCTACATATCAAGACGTCAGTGTTTTGTGAAACTAGAAAAACAAACACCCTACAGTGAAAAGTTACAAACAATATCCGAGTGTTAAGAATATCCGGTATTGAGACTATAATTAGTGAGTGTTTCTCATTCTGTCGCCCAAAGATGGTGCAGAATTATTCCCAATAACCACAATTGAGTTATTGTTGACGTGAAATCCCTGTTAACGACAAGTAAGGGCGGTCAGGAAAGCGTCTGTCAGCACCTGACCATTCTGTGGAAGGTATTCCCCTGTCGTGAAGTGGATTCACCCGGCGTTCGTCATGCAGCGCACACAGACTCATAGTGGGAGGGAAGAGTGCGGTTACCCACCCACCACCCGCCCACCTGGAACCATCTGTGGATCGTGTTTTCTATACAGATGCCCTAACTCCTGTATTAGGTATTTAAAGAGTAAAATACTTTATACACAGAGAAACTCTATAACTTCTCAAGTGATTGTTACAACTAACAGGCATAACGCCATATACACAGTTGGTAAAGGTAGAGGAATTATGTTCTCCCCATTACTGTGGCATACTGGTTTAGAAGAAAAAAAAAAAAAAAAAAAAAAAAAAAAAAAAAAAAAAAAAAAAAATATATATATATATATATATATATATATATATATATATATATATATATATATATATATATATATATATATATATATATATATATATATATATATATATATATATATATATATATATATATATATATATATATATATATATATATATATATATATATATATATATACATATAAACACCATATACACAGTTGGTAAAGGTAGAGGAATTATGTTCTCCCCGTTACTGTGGCATACTGGTTTAGAAGATATGTATATATAAAATGTAAGTGTAAATATGCAATAGCAATCAAAGATATTGTTATATGTGTTACATTTACTGCTACAGGAAGATGAACTGTTACATATGCTACATGTTGAGTTTATGTCCATAACCAATACTGAGTTATTAAAAGTTGCTGAATCATAGCAACAATCCTGTGAGCTGAAGTGAACATTAGTTTCTGCAAATGATTCGTTCACTGCCCAGGGTGTGACAGGACGTGACTGCAGTTGTTGTGACTACTCATCAATCAACATCCTGTCAACAGAATTCTTTTGTATGGCGTGAATAACCCCCAGTTACCAGCACCCCAGCACCCCACCCTAGTGATGACAAATCTCCTGTCATGAGAGATGGTCTCAGCATTCTGAGGTATGGTGTGGTGGATGACCTAGTGTAACCAGGAGCAGTAGTTTGCTATACTCATGAATTTCGTGACATTGACCCAGTCACCGGACCTTGGAATCAGCTGTGTTTACTGTGAGTGACACACACAAGTATAAAGGATTGCGGCAACAATTTCACATTTTCAAGAAATTCTAGAAAGGATTCTTCAATCAAGCCTACAAGGAATAGGTAGTATCTAGGTATACATTAAATATATACACACATTTACATGTTCGAGGCATAACTCCACATTGATAGGACATCGATAGGTTATTGTCATTGTTGTAAGTGCTTACTTATTTTAATATGTACTGAAGTGAAATAATTCCCAGTATTTATTAGACATAAAAAATGTGGACATTTTCTTTTGGTCCCAGGGAGGATAAGAATGTTTATAATTTTCAAACTACATATTTTAATGATGTCAAAGACACATCTTATATAAAATAAAAATATGATAATTCTACAAAAGTACCACAGACTGTAATTTTCAGCCAAGTCTTGTTGAACCCTTCACAACTCAGTACCATTGCTCTCCACAAAATTGAATGTTTCGTTGAAAGAGTCTTAGGCACCACACACTCATTCATCCAGTGTGATTACAGTAGCAAAAGTTGTACATTGCTAAGAAGATACGTTCTTAAACACGAAGTAGGTGAAGGTTATTTCTGCTATGTTGCTTTTGATATTGGCAGTAATGTTTGTGTTTGAAGTCATGTTTTTTTCTGTTATTATAAGTCTGTGTCATCCAACATGAAAATTGTTCATAAAATTTTAACCCAAAAAGCACTAAAGTATAGGACCCCTGTAGTAGATAAAACCCCTACAGTAGTAGAATCCCCAGCTTAGTGTCTACACCTATATTTATAACATGGTTAGGGTTGTATAGGATGTACTGTACTCTGTGAGCTTATTTAGGCTTCACGGAGCTTGGCCGGTGGTGACCGAGCGATGTAATGGCCCCTGTCTCATCAAGAGAAGTATTATATAAATGGGTTATTTACACCTGATTTATATTCAGATTCATCCCCTGTAACTTTCCACTGGCTATGAGGTGACATGTTCAATGCACGTGATAAGGTGTGCCCACGGGAAGCTGCATCATACTGTGGGGTATAATTTGTGTTTGTGTTCACACTCAGGATGGGATGGAGGAAGGAAACTCACAATGCACTTTCTGTATATATATTGTTGTACAGTGCAGTGCTTAGGAGTGACTAGGTGAGGAGAAGCTTGCTCAGAGGTCCTGTAGGGCGAGGAGGTTTCTGAGGAAGCTGGGTGGTGAGGAGCTGTGAGAGATGTTGCTGGGCCGGTAGCCGAGTGTAGAATGGTCTCCCTGGCTGTTGTTGTTGTTGTTGAGATTGTCGGACCGTAGTCCGACACGGGCCTTTGCCTATAGGCGGCCCGTTTGGTGGTTCCGGCTGGAG